TGATTCTATGATTCTATGATTGAACTAAGGGAGATAAGGAAACCTAAGTGACCTTGGATAAAGCACATTCTCTCAACTTAGAGGAAGGCAATGGGAAGCCTCCTCTGAATAAATCTTACCAAGAAAACCCTATATGGTTGCTGTATGTTGGAGTTGACCTCAAGGCACATAATATGTAAATTGCAAATACAATTGTCCCTCCGTTTTCACAGACGTGAAGTCCATGGCTCTCTCTTATCCGTGAGGGACGAACAGAGGGGCACAAAATTGTGTGTGCGTCCATGGCACACACCCACTCACTCCCGTGGACCACGCCTCCATTCAATCCAATAGGACTTGAATATTTGCATTTTTCCTTTTTCGTGGGGTGGGGGTCTGGAAAAGTTCCCCGCGAAAAAGGAGGACTCACTGCAATCACTTTGAATATTAGTTGTACACTACTTCCATGATGATTTATGCATCATTAAAATGCAACCCAGTACATACCTACTCAGAAGTACCAAGTCCTCCTTCATTTGAGAAGTCTTATTCTTGGATAATGAGCAGATCAGCTCTATTCTAAATCTCAGAACAGGAATAACTGTGAGATACAAATACAGTTTTAAGACAGCATATTAACCATATTTAAATGCAATTAACCTTCAGTTAAGCAGATAAGATACTGAATCTAGACATTTAATCCAATAGCGTTAATCCATAATTTGTCCCACTTACTGCAACAGGACCCAATTTCATCTAATGTTCAGTGCAATCCTATGTGTCCCATTCACAGTTTTCCATTTTGTTCAACAGGGTCAGCCAACAGGTTTCATTACTTTCTCAATATCCTAAATATGCACCAAACAGCAAACTTAAATTCACACCTGACTTCATTGACTGCCTTGTAACTTACTCCAAAATATCCATTCTAATTGGCACAAAAACCAAACAAATTCCATGCATCTTACCAGTCATCCCCAGTCATCTTACATTGCCTTTTCTGTTGTTCACTGTACTGATAGATGGCTTTTAGTCACTGGGAATATTGTAACCAACTCTGTTAACAGATTTATCAATAAATTAATTATCTATTTTTTAAAGACAGTATCCCCACAATGAGCTCAAGGAGGATTTGATCAGTCTGTTTCCCAGTACAATTTATAGGCAGTATTTTCAAATATATATTTTCAAATCCTCCCTTTTCACTTAATTTACATGCAAAGAGCCAAAAGAAGCTAAAATGAAAAGGTGCAGAGATAAGATCAATGGCAACTGTAATAAATCTGTGCCTCTAATTTTCACCTCAAACGTCAAGGTGATGATCATTCAGAAGCTGCTAATCTTGATGGGCTTGTATTATAAACCTGTAGAACAAGTTCAGTTTCAGTGCTGGGGCAGAAGAATATAAAATCCACAGGTTAAACAGGGTGTTGTAAGATTTAATTAATATTTATAATTCATTCCAAATTCACTAGAAGAAATGAGAGCAGCTAAGATGTTCCAATGTATATTGTTATTTCAGAGCTACATAGCCACACATAAAGTAAAATGTTCTAGGGAGGACTGGACTCAGGCTTTGAGGGAGAAAAGACCTCATAAAGTTTCTCAGCTGCAGAATCAGTTGCAGTTTGTAATCTATCGTATACTCCATGGCATAGAAGCAATCGCCAAAGTCTCATTTGTGTCATTCAAACTAGTTTTGTTATTGTTGTATGACTTCAAGATGTTTCCAATTTATGGCAACCCTAAGGCAACCCTATCATGGGGTTTTCTTGGCAAGTTTCTTCAGAGGGGGTTTGCCATTGCCATCCTTTGAAGCTGAGAGGGTATAACTTGCCCAAGGTCACTCAGTGGGTTTAGATAGCCAAGCTGGGATTTGAACCCTGGTCTGTAGAGCTATAATCCAATGCTCAAACCACTACACCACACCAGTAGCATCTTGGATTAAAATGCATGCTATTATTTCATACCATTCCTTAATAATGAACTAAGGAGGACAACAGTTCAAATCCCCACTTATTATTTCACACCAGTCCTTAGTATTGCACTAATGGGGACAAGGGTTCAAATCCCCACTCTGTTGAAGCTCTGTTGCCACATTCTGGAACTAAATTCAATAAAATGTTGACATTGAAGACCATAAACGGCTTGTCTAGCCTGCTTACTTTCCAATCCAGTGCAGATTCCTGGGGTGAGCAAGCACGCAATCCTTGTCCAGACCTGCTGTGGTCTTCAGTCTCATTTCAAATGCACCCTATAAGCAATCCATTTGAGCCTCTACAAGAGTGAGGGAGAGAGGGAGAAAAGTGGTTGGTGTGGGGACAGGGAGAGGAAAGAAAACAACAACAGAGATGGCAGAGAGGAAGTAAGAAAAAAGTGGACACTGGCCCAACTCACTGCTAGCACTTGGCCCTCGGCAGATTGTTGTTGTGTGCCTTCAAGCCATTTCTGACTAATGGAAAGATTGGTCAGAGGGAGTTTGCCATTGCCTTCCTCTGAGGCCAAGAGGATGTAACTTGCCCATTGTCACCCAGTGAGGTTCCATGGCTGGGCAGGGATTTAAACCATGGTCCTCCAGAAGCCCAGTCCAACACTAAAACCACTGCATATACTGGCTATCTTTCCCTGGGTTGACATGGCCTTAGAGAGAAGAAGTTTCCCCACCTTGAATGACACAGAAGTAGTGCCATTAAACAAGCTGTGAAACAGAGTAATTTTTGGGCTGATTTTCTGATACTACCATAGCCCTACAAAAACATTTTTTTAAAAAGGATGTCATACAGTTTACATGCCCCAAAGCAAATAAATAAATAAATTTAATCCATTTCCATCCCAAATCTAATAAGTTAGGGCAGTGGTGGAGAACCTATGGCACACATAGCAAAAGGGCATGCACGCCATCACCCCAGCATAGAGTTTTCCAGACTTTGTTACTAGAAAGCCAGAGGGACATGGTACTTTGCAATAAATAAGTGGGTTTTGGGTTGCAGTTTGGGCACTCAGTCTTTAAAAGGTTTGCCATCACTGAGCTACAGTATGATAATAACAAACTGAAGTCCCAGTATCCACTCTACTGGCAATATTAGACAAGTCATCTAAGAATCATAGATGCTGCATCAGAGGATACCAGAAGTAACTTTACAATGATGGTGTTACATCACTGACATAATACTCAACCATACTAGTGAATTGCAGTGATGCACAATGGGGAACCATGCAAGATACCATGCTGTGCAATGGGGAGACATGTTGTGCAATGGCTCCACTGTTGGCTCCACTTATGTAATGGCCCCTATGGCATACCTATGGTTCTGCTCCTGTCCTGAGAATACACTGCATAACACCACAATTCAACTTTATGTCAACTTACAATGATGTTACCTCCTAACAGGATCCAATTTGTAATTTTTTTAAAAAAATGTCTTCTTAAAATATCTGCAACTTGATTTCGATGGCTTCATCTTACACAGTATCAGCTGAACTGATTTTAGTGTAGTAATTTTAATTAAATCAATATCCTGCCTGTCCCCCAATATAAACACAAGGCAGCTCACAACACAGATTAAAAGAAAACATTGATCAAAGCCCATTCTTACAGTAAAAACAGTTTTTAAAAGCCTACTCTTATAGTAACTTTCTAAAAAATGATCAAATAAACTATCCTACTAAAAACAGATCTAAAAACAAAAGTTTATAAGTAGTTAAAACATAACTATTAGGATAAAAGTACAGCATCCCCATTAGAAGATCCTTCTGCTGGAACTAGTCAATAGCCAAAAACCTGTCTAAACTAAAAGGTCTTTGCCTGCTAGGAAAAGAGCCAGCCTATCTTCCAGTGAGAGAGAGTTCCACAGTTTAGGAGCAGCTACCAAGAAGGCCCTTTGACATGTCCTTACCAAACATGCCTATGACAGTGATAGGGCAAATAGTGAAATGAGGGCTGGGTATTTTCAGTAGCTATGGAGTGGTTAGTGTTTTGGGGGGGAAGTAAAAATGGAAAACTCAGGGTACAAGCTATGAAATATCTAGGAAAAGGCCATACCGGCTGATTGCTACTCTGAACCTGGAGCAATCTACACTGCATTTTGCTGCAGATATCACTTGTAATGTCTATTCCTAATTTTGTAGTCTGCTTTTTCATGTAAACAACTCATACATACATACATAATCCAATTGAACCTGAAAATGAAACACATTTAAATTCCAAATTATAAATAAAAAAAGTATCCAGAAAAATACAACCATACCACCTCCTAATGCCTAAACTGAACCTGTATTGAGTGTTGTAATTTCTAGTGTTTCAGGAAAAGTAAAGCTTGATGCATTAGGTCTTTGCCAGTTAAGGCATCACTCAGTTGTCAAGCCTAATACGTATTTTATATCTTTCAGGTGGAAAACTGAAAGACTAGGATGAAATAACTGCTCTATTTGGCAGACATTATTGTGAGTTTCACTCACTACAAGAATAATCTGCACCACCTGGGGAAGTCTCAATGCCAGATCCAATTGCCTTATTGTAAGGATTATATCCTGACTAAAATTTAAGGGTAGTGAACACCCATGCTTCCCAAACATTCACTAAAGCTGTAACCATTATTTCCAACAGTGATTTCAGCTGATGTCTACATGTGCAGTACATGGCTTCCTTGGGATACCTGGGAAACCACTTGGAAAGAAAAGAAACATTTTAGAGCAACATGAGAATGGATTTTGATTCTGGTATACTAGTATATTATTTTACTATATCATTGTGTTGTATTTTCTTGTTTTGTTCTTGATTATATGTGCCTGATGTTCCACTCTTTGGTGAAAAGGGTGTTATAAATAATTAGAAATAAATGTTATTAAAAGGCCCCATGAGCTTGCAGGACTAATTGAATGTTGAGGACATAAGGAAACACCTTATCCTATTGTATTGGGTGGGTCTTCCAGGTGCACATTCAATACCAAAAAACAGCAGCTCCTGTTTCTACTGCTAATTTTTGTTTTGGGGATCAGGTATGCTGGTGCAGGGTCAGCAGTACACTACAAATACAACAGTGGTTCCTCCAATGTTCTTTACTTGTAGATCCCGCTCTCTGTCCTGCACCCAAGAGTAGGGTGGGCTGGAAAGATCTAAAGAAACCGAACACACAGCAGACTAGTCGGCCCTCTCTTTTTGCAGGGGATCCTTTCCGGACCCCCTCCCTGGTGCAAAAACGGAGACTCACCAATATTCAAGCACCATAGGCTTGAAAGGGACATGCGCCCCTGGGGGTGCAGCTCATATATTTTAATGGAGGTCACCCCTCTGTGAATATGCAAAACTGCGGACTTCAAGTCTGCGAGAGCTTCAGATCAGAGGTATAGTGGGAAATAGTTTCTACGGCCATGTCCCTAACCAGACTCCCCTCCCCAAAGCTTTAGCCTGATTCTAGCATCCCAAGATGGAACATGTGTGCATGTATGCAAAGGGAGTGTTTGCTTTTCTCTGCCCTTCAGGTGCAGAGTGGTAACTTTTGCAAAATGGCATCAATGGAGGGGGGATGGACTGTACAAGGTGACACTCTAAGAAAGGTGACACCACTATGCCTCAAACATCTGCTTTTTGGCTGAAATGGGCTGTGGCATTTGCCTGTGCTGTGTTAAAATGCTGAAGAGATGGAGTGAGTAGGGTAAGGCTCTGTGGAAGGAGAAAGGAGAGGTCCCAGAGGATTTTTTAAATTTTATTTTTTAAATACTTTTTTAAAAAATAAAAATTTAATTATTTTAATTTTTTTTCTAAAAAAACCACTTTTACCAAATTTCCACTTCAACCACGTGAAACTATGTATATGTAAATGCACCGAGGCTGTGAGTATGATACTGTAATTTAAGGGTATAATTTTAATTTTGCTAGTTGTTTATGTCACAACTAGTACCATGACATTGAGTGATATCCAGGAATTACGATTTATGAGTAACATTAGTACAAAAACATTACTAAGGGTTCTGTATGGTGTGGGACGGGAGGAGGTCAATGGGAGGGGGTGACACTCTATGCATTATTGCACCGGGTGACACCAACCCTAGCAATGCCACTGTGTTTAGCAGCATTTTTCTCCACTATCCCGTTGTCCCTTTTCAAAAAAGAATAGCTTACTGAATTAATCATATTGGATAAGTTGTCAAAAGAAGACATTTCTATATCCAGAAGGAAGACCAAAACTAGATCCAGTGCTTATAATTACGAGAGGCACCATAGCTTACACTTCTAGCAAGACAAGCCTCTTGATCAGGGGTAGGCAACCTAAGGCCCGGGGCCGGATGCGGCCCCCCAAGGGCTTTGGACCGGCCCCCCGCTGGTCCTGCCGCTACTGCCGCCTGCCATGATGATATTGATTATTGTTGTTATTACTTGTTCTTGGAGTTTTCTTGGCAAAATCTCCACAGGGGTTTTGCCATGGCTTTTCTGGCGCTGAGAGAGTGTGCATGCATATATATTTTAGTTTTTTTTAAATTTTTTTTAAAAATATATTTTTTATTATTTATTTATTTTTTTGGTGCTTCGGCCCCCCAATTGTCTGAGAGACAGCAACCCGGCCCCCAGCTCAAAAAGGTTGCCTACCCCTGCTCTTGATCCTTAGTCTCAAATCATCAGGATAGGTTTGGAGAACTCAGGCAAAATACTGCTTTCAGAGGCAGAAGCGTAATCAATTACTTGTTCCAGAGGCCAAACTTTTTGGTGCACTGAGGCTTCTATACTATGGAGTTAAGTTCTGCTATGCTGAATGAGCGTCTCCAGAAGTGTACACAGGATTGCAGGTTAAGTGCAAAGATGACTGCTTCTTATTGCTCAACTCTCTACCTTAAAGCACCTAAGTATATTTGGTTCTTATTGACAGATCAGTTACAGTCAAATTGAAACCTTAGTTATTCAGATGAAGATGATTATTTCTGCATTCAAGAATCAAT